GGAGGGTTTGGTTCCGGTGGACCCTTCACGGAGAACAGAGGTCGGAATTCCTCTTGTAGTTTTCTCTCTTTTTAAAATTCAATTTATTGGGGGCTCATACAAGCCTTCTCACAATCCATCCATGCGAGACGCACTCTCCCCGTGCCTGAGCTATGGGAAACTGTTTCAAAGGGTTCTATTTGGGCCACTCATTACCGAAGGGCATTGCAATTCTTTGCATGCCTTAGAATGTGAACCCAATTGCCTGCTTTTCAAAAAGTTCCCACTCCTTTGATGTAGACCTCTGGCCAGATGGAAATGACATCGTTGGGTGACATCAGGCTGAGGGTTTGCTTTTTTTAAAAAAGGCGATTCCTCAGTGTCCACATGCACAAGTAGGGGTTGGCACTGTTTGTAGTAGTTTCTGTGTTTTAATATAGCGTTGCTTTCAATACTCCTGGAAGGCTGATGATTTGGTTTATTAAGTTTGATATTCAAGCTCATCACTTACTGTGTAAGCAAATTCACTAATTTGGGGGTGGGGAAAGGGATGGAAACATTGCAATTTTTTTCTCCTTTCCATTAGCTTCAACTGGTTGTTATGACAACGGGAAACACTATCAAATCAACCAACAGTGGGAGCGAACTTACCTGGGCAATGCTTTGGTTTGTACCTGTTACGGAGGAAGCCGAGGTTTTAACTGTGAGAGTAAACCTGAAGGTAAGTGGTGGGAGCCAGCTCATAAGTTTCTCTTAATAGACCTAGACTTGGCTCTTGTTAGTGAAAGTTAGAATTAGCAAGTAAAAATATTTGCACTATTCTTCGGTTAACATTAATTGTGATTTCATCTTTATAAACATTATTAGGTGCCTATTGTTATTTTCCAATGACTGACCTTTAAAACCAGAAAATAACAAACCCATTTTGAGTCGAATCCAGCTCATTGCAGTCCTATGTAGGGTTTCCGTTATAGGTAAACCTTTATGAGAACAGACATCTTTGTTCTTTTCCCTTGGCGTGGCTAGTGGGTTTAAAGGACCAACCCTATGCTTGGCAGTCCAATGGTTAACTCACAGCATCACTATTAAAACAAGCCAAAATATCTATCCCAGATGAATTCTTAGTCTCTCTAAATTTGTCATAAGAAAATGAAAGATTTGTGTGCCTTCATAAACAAAAGTGCTTATGTAATGTTATTTTGTTACACATCCATAGCAAACCTTCATCGTTAAAATTATAGGCCAGAAAGCCTATGGGCACTGCATTTCAAAGAGATTTGTCAGCTACAGTTCAGCATAAAACCAGTCAGAATCTCAAAGTTTGCCATCCCTTTGCCTACCAGGTTTCTGGTAGATTCTAGCAGCTCCCACAGGGAAACTCTGATAAGACTAAAATCAAAGAAGTAGGATTAACAAAGTTTGTGCCTGGTAGGCAGTGGGGGATCTTCCTTAGGATTGTTTGCTTTCTTTGTGGACCTTGGTTTAACTTCCTGAATCAGAGATCAGAATCTGAAACCCTTTATTAAGCAAGCTGTTAAGAGTGTAGTACCTTATATGGCTTTTTTTCTAAGGAGGGGGGAGGGGGGATTCTATTCTTCCTTACAACCGACATGAGTTTACAAGCACCTTGAGAATGTGTCCAGAGGTTGAAAATGGAAGCCTTCCCAGAATGTAGGATCCAGCTTAGTTCTCTAACCTGCTTTCAAAACTTTTAGATGTACCATACTCCCTCCTAAAATGGCTAAAGTGGGTTCCCCCCACCCACCCCCCTTGGGATGGGCTTAGTGAAATAGAAAAGGTTTTACATGCGTGAGGGTCACGGGGGCTTCCTTTTCCCTTCAGCTGAAGAGACCTGCTTTGACAAGTACACCGGGAACACTTACCGAGTGGGTAACACCTACGAACGCCCTAAAGACTCCATGATCTGGGACTGTACCTGCATCGGGGCCGGGCGAGGGAGAATTAGCTGCACCATTGCAAGTAAGGACCTCTTATATCTTTCTTCCTAACTCCACAGGCATCCTGCCAAGTGGCGCTTGCCCAAAGTAAACCCAATCTGTTGCCATTGAGTTTATTCTGATTTAAAGCAACTCTATAGAATGGCATCGATGTCTAATCTTTACAGAAACCCACCTTTCTTGGATCGGCCAGCCAAGTGCCTAACCATTTTGCCAGCAGGGCTCCTCAAAGTGACACTAACATATCATTAATATGAAAATCACCGTTACCATGCTGGCCACTGGCAACTGTCCACAACTGTATATCCCAAATTTTAGTGTTTGTCTCAGGTGAGCTGATGGATATTCTTTTTGTTTACCTGGCTGGTCCCTGTGCTCTTGGAACATAGATGTGAGTACAAGTGGAGCAATGTTTAATGTCTCTCTCGGTCTGTGTGTGTGTGTGTGCAATGTGTCCAAGGAGATCTCTTGGGTTCCTTTCCATCCAGTAAAAATAAAAATGCTTAGGGAGAATTAATCTTTTAAAATTACCTGGGGATCTTCAAGCCCGATTGAGCATGTGGTTGCTGACTGATTGGGAAGATGGCCGTGAAGAGTGTATCAACCCTGGTGTGGTCTGTTCTTCTTCTTGTAACTTAGAGACCTCTTGTATCTCAACAAAAACACCAGGGTTCCTTTATGACTCATAGGTGCTACACCAAAATCCTATCTCTTGATTCTTTTGAAAAATATGGAATGCTTAACTGAATAGCTATTTCCAAAGTCTCTTGGGGACTAGGCTGGTGCTCGTCAAGTCTAGTTTCACAAAAGCAGTATTTCTAGTATTACTCAATAGATTCTATTAACGTAGCTTTTTTGTTAATTTTTGAATGTATTCTGTCAGTATAAGTCCTTTTAAAGGCTTCTCTCCAAAAGATCGTTAAATCACTTGTGAATGTGCCCAACCATTTTGCTTCACCCACATTGCATGTTAACAATTATCTACGTTATTAGCAAATCTCATGTGTTTACAACTTATTGGGTAATTCAGTCTTTATGTCTTTAACAGCCTAGAAAAATACCAGGAATTTCACATTTGAAACACAAATGCTTATTTGCAATCCCCTCATGAGATTTCTATATTAAGATAAAATATTGGCTTCCCATATTCCTGGAAACAGGAGTGTCAGACCAGTGTGGCTGGTTTATTGGCTCAGTCTCAGGTCCACCCCGGAGGCTAGGCTGGGTGGCCATGTCACACAGCCTTTCTTTCCTGGTTTAGGACCCAATTTCCTGTGATCCCTCTTAAGGCTCAGGATTTATGACCTCTTCTCTGCCTTCCGGACATTCTCTGCCTTTTCCCTGTTGTGCTTAAGTAAGACATTTTATTGAAACAACCCAAAGTGACCAGACCCCATCACATCTTCCCATATCTCTGTTGAAGGAAATCTGCAACCAAACTGGACGCAACAGGCCACTTTTATTTCCAATGTTTTCCATCCCATTTCCTCTTAACATTTGCTCTTCATCTTGAACAGACCGATGTCATGAAGGGGGCCAGTCCTACAAAATCGGTGACACTTGGAAGAGACCGCATGAGAGTGGCAGTTACATGTTAGAGTGCGTGTGCCTTGGAAACGGCAAAGGAGAGTGGACCTGCAAGCCCATAGGTAGGTGAATCGCTGAGGGCCGATGGTGTGTGAGGACGTAGATTTGTCATCCTGGATTGAGCTAAAATCAGATCGACGTGGGTCTGAATTCCAATAAGAAAAGAGTGAAGCGATCATTTCACATCAAATAATGAGCTACTATGGATTTGTTACAACAGTAGTTTAAAACACGGTGACCAGGTATAAAAATCCCAAACCAAACCCATTGCTGTGGGGTCCCTTCTGACTCTTAGCAAGCCCATGTGTATGAGATAAGACGTGCACCCCCCAGGGTTTTCGAACCCATGACCCTTTGGAAGTAGATTGCCCAGGCCTTTCTTCCAAGACCCTCTGGGTGGGTTCAAAATGCCAAACTTTTGGGTTCGTAACCAAGCCTGTGAACATTTGTGCCACCTAGGGGCTCATGCTGGCCATGTATTGTGTGGCAGTAGCTTCAGATAGGGTGGAGAGATCTAGGAAGAAGTCCGTTTGTCTTGCTCAGTAAGTGACCTTGGATGCCTTCTCGGTCGACATAGAAGTGATTGAACAGGACAAAGTGGCAGATAATCTTTATTGGAGTGCGCTGGACTGGAAAAGTGGTGTGTTCTGTGGGCAATATCGTTGGAAATAAAAAACGATTGCGCTTCTTGAGGTCTCCTTCCTCTGTTGCCCTCGCCAGGGGCACGTTTTTTGGGAGCGTTTCTGGCTCTAAATTCCACCTCGTTTTCTTATTGTAGCGCATTTTCTTGTCCTGCTAGGCAATGGCCAGTCATAAATGAAGTCTGGAATGTTGCCTATTCAGCCTTCCCCCAGATGTCTACATACCTAGTTTCTTGTCACTGGAAACGCGGGCGTGAAGCGTGGTACCAGCTGAGCCTGCAGCCCGGTGCTTGTTAAGAAAGCAGGCCATCTGCCTGCCAACTCAGCTGGGCTCCCTTTTGCTCTGGTGTCTGCTGTGTGCTTAGTTACAGGGCGTGCCTTTCCTTTTGAACAGAGTGCCACTTGGGGAAAAAATGTGGCTGGATATTTGCTTACACACTGCTCTTTAAATGACAGGGACACCGTACAATTCAAAATAACTTTTTCCCCCTCCCTTTCTGTTTTCCCTTCCAATTTTCCTATAGCGGAGAAATGTTTTGATCATGCTGCTGGGACTTCCTATGCCGTTGGGGAGACCTGGGAAAAGCCCTACCAGGGCTGGATGATGGTGGACTGTACCTGTCTGGGGGAAGGCAGTGGGCGCATCACCTGTACCTCTCGAAGTACGTATGGGAGCTTTACCTTGAAGGTCTCGTGAGGTATTGTTTACTCGATTCCTAGATGCACACCACTCGAGTGTGCTTCGGTAATCTGAATGTCAAGGAAATTCCATATCCAATTTTCCTCCGTGATTTAAAACTCTTCTAATAATATATTGGGAAAGGTCACTCAAAGGAAAGACCTTTATTCCACAGATGCTTGTGAGCCCTTCCTTTGTAGAGCAGTGATGCGATGGTGATTTGGAAATTAGCTCAGCCTTCCGAGAGCTCTTAATAGGTTGTGGAAATGAGAAAGGCTTTGATTTATGATCGACTGAAATCATTGTCAAGGGCTCTCTTGAGGAGAAATGATGAAAATAGTGCTGCGTGGGGCTCAGGGCCACCACGAGCTGGCGATTTGGGGGGAAGACTGTGACCAACACCAGCATCCTCATTCAGTGGTGGCAGAGCAGATGTGTGCACATGTTTGTTTTTTTGTGAGTCTATATTCACTGCCTGATTCCCTCTAAACCAGTGATTAGAGAGACCAGTGGCAGCCCTTCAGTTCTCCGGTAGCCCTTCAGTTCTCTGGGACTCCTTCAGTTGCAGCAAATGGGCAAAGGCCATCAATGTCAAGAATCGATGTGCCAGATACTTAAACTCATAGTCTGTTGGCATTCAAATGACACATTAGCATTTGACATTACTAAGACTATATCTACCATTGAAAGGTTAACATTGAACAATTCAAAAGAAGCTGTTTTGTTAGGGAGTTTTAAACAGGTGTTTTGGGGGAATGGGGTAGGGGAAAAGAAGAGACCCTTGAAGTCAAAGGAGCTCCCCATTTCCTGATTGTTTTTCTTAATAATTGAGACTTTAATGTATTCTAAATTCTATGCCTCTATTCAATGCCATGCCCTAGTCATTGGAGCATAGGAGGACCCTTCAAAAGGTTGTGGAAAGGTGGAACTAAAAGATACTAGAATTTTCCACTGACTTTTTGATGCTTCCTTTTATAAGCAAATGTGAACAGTCGTAGGTAGCTGTTGTAGTTGAGCAAACCTAAATCATTCTATTTTCCTTTAGCGTTTACATCTTAGACCTTTGTGGTTAACTACCGTGGACGCTGGTGCCACACTGTCTCGATAATGCTAGTCGTGGGACTTTTTTTTTTTAATTGTAGTTTGGGGCAAAGCTCACAGCAAATTAGTTCTCCCTTCAACCATTCAGACACTTTTTAAAACAGTTTTATTGGCATTTAATCTACATATCACATGTTCAATAGTTCAATCATAGCAAGAAGAGTTAGTTGTACAATCATTACCACAACCAATTTTAGCACATTTGCTCTCTCCCCTGCCCCACCATGGTTACAACACTTTTAAAATGAGTTGTGTAATCATCTGTCGGTTCTAGAGAGTGCTCCCCCACCCCCACTCCCAAGGACATTGCTCCTCAACCCCCCTCACCCTCCCTATCTCCCCCCACCCGCACCCACACTTCCCCTGTAAACCCTTGCCTCAGTTCTCTGTGCCTCTACTCCTGTGCTTCACAAACTAGCAAACCCAACAGAAACAGGCAAAAATAATAATACAGAGATGAAAATTCAAATTCAAATTGTGGGTAAGAAAGAAAAGGCCACTGTGAATATTTAAAAGGCAAGGGGAAATTTTTTGTCATGGAACAAGCAAGAAAGCTCCCGGAAGAATCTCGTGGGGATCTGACAGCGGCTTAATCAGGCTGGATACTGCAGGTGGGCTTGGGCACCCACCGTCCTCCGCGGCCTTCTGCGAATTGGGTGTTCTGCAGCTTAGGCTCTGATACTTTCCCCTTTGTCATATTCGGATTTTGATATTTTTTAGACACATTTCTAATGTGTGTGACACTGGCTATCTCCCCTCAATGGAACAGCCCTCCTCTCAGCTCCTCCCTGGCTTCCCCACTCCCATTCCTCCTCTGCCGGCTTTCCTGCCCCTCTCCAAGGAGCTTCCTTTTGCTTTCCAAATGACCAAAGAGGAACTGCTATGTGTTCACCCCTTCTTTAGGGCAACTGGGAGAGACAGACCCTTTGAGACCTGTTTGCCTTTATTGTTTCTAGTTTTCTAAACAAAGTTCTCTATTGAAAGACAGCCCGTATCCAGAATTATGGAGGGAAAGTGGGAGAGCCTAAGAAAGAAGACAGAGCCCTTTGCTCCAGAATAAATATGGTCCAAAAGAAGAGTAGGAAATTCTTTTTTAAGGGGAGAAAAAAAAAGATAGTGGGAGAGCCTTTTGACAACAACGAGTAATGTAACTATAGGAAGTCATGCAACTCCCTTTCTGGGTTCCCCAACAGAAGTCCCATCTCCCAGAAGTGTGGCACCCACCACCGCCTGCTGCCAATGTGAACAGACTCATTGAGCGCCTCCCTTCACGCCTTGGGTTGGGTTAGCAAGCATGACAGTGCTCTGTTGCTTCTGTGGGTTTCATTAGGGCCCTTGCCAAGCTCGACTTGACTTACGGATTTCAATGCTTCCTTTCTGACACAGACAGATGCAATGATCAGGACACCAGCACATCCTACAGGATTGGAGACACGTGGACCAAGAGGGATCACCGGGGCTTCCTGCTGCAGTGCGTCTGCACAGGCAATGGCCGAGGGGAGTGGAAGTGTGAGCGGCACGCCTCGGTGCAGACCGCGTCCTCCGGTGAGGCACAGGGCCGCTGCTGCAGAACTGGGGCGCGCTTTTTGAAATCTGCTTCTGACGCCATTGTTCATTTGAAATGCCATTTGAAGGTGGTGTTTGGTGTTTCAAGCAGGCTTTGTGTATAGAGTGTGTAGAGGTGAAATCATTTTAACATGTCAGTTCTTACACAGTAGATGAAATGGAATGGGTTTGTGGGTAGAAACAGCTTTAGCTCCAAGACATAAAAGTGAGCTTTAATTGAATGCTAATATCATAAGATCAGCACAGTTACACACACACACATATATATATATATGTATATATATGTATGGATGGATGTACACATAGAAATAACATATGCCTTAATGTTAGGTGCCATGAAATGGATCATGACGCACCGTGATGTCATGTGGTGGACTGGAACTGCTCCGTGGAGTTTTCTTAACTATAATCTTTATGGATTTCCTGGGTGGGTCTGAAATGCTAACTTTTCAGTTAGTTGCTGAGCTTTGGAGCATTGAGCCACCAGGGCCGAAGCTTATGTAACATTATCCAAAGTGCACTGTAGTGGAAATCAGAGTTATGCAGAGTTATGATTCGTTACACGACTGCTTGATTCTTCTGCTAAGAAAGAGAGGGGAGATAATTCTGTGCTTTTTCCTTGGTCTGACATTCAGCTCTCTCTGGAGTGGAAACAAGCCTTTCTCTGTGGTTTTCTGTCCTCTGGCAAACGCTTTTTGCATTCCATAAAACACTGTGTAATCATCTTCTTGTGCATTGGCATTCAAAATATGAGCTGTTCCGACGGGACGCAGAGACGAGGGTGAGTGACAGAGTGAGTGGTCTTTGTTTCAGAGATGCTTCCAGCTGTGATGTCAATTAAAAAAAAAAAATCTTTGCATCGTAACTTGTATTTTAAGAGTCTAAAGAAAGCATGAGCGTCAAGGGGGCATGCCTGCACTATTCTTACAGGTTAGACCAAGTTTTCTCCCTGAGGTGCAAACACGAGGGCTGAAAAAAAATTTGGAAAAAAAAAAAATCTCACAGCCGTAGAGTGGATGCCAACTCAGAGGGCCCCAAGAGGGCAGGGTCGAGCTGTCCCCGTGCGGTTCTGAGCCTGTAACTCTTCCCAGGAGTCTAAAGACTCCTCTCGCTCCCTGTTGGCTTCAAACGGCTGACCCTGTGGACGACAGCTTCATGTGTCACCGCTGACTAGTGAATACTTTGTGCTTGGCAGGGCTGGTTGTGGGGCTGCTGACTGCAAACCACCAGCCCCAAGTCTCATTAGAAAGATGGCGCTTTCTCCACTCAGAAAGAGTCAGCGTCTTGCAAACTCACAGAGGCAGTTTCAGCCTGTCCTGTAGGGTCCACTAGGAATCAGAATTAACTCCATGGCAGTGAGTCAATGAGTGAATCAATCATTTAGTGTGGAATATCCCTTAAGGGCTTAGATTTCTCATCTCCTGATGAATTTGCAACTTGCTCTTAGCCTGTCGAACGTGAGCAAAATCAAATTGGATAATACTTTGGAGATCTTTGGCTAGCATCACAGATCTAAATTTATTGGAATTATCTCAATTAAAAGGGTAGTCTGGAGTTAAGTGTAGATATTTAGGAATTGTTTGCTATTTTTATTAAGTCTTTACTAGAAAAGGTTTCGGTCATCAAGGAAGTTTGGGAAATGCTGGTTGAAAGTGAATGGAACTTACTTCTATAGGGCCTGGAGGCTGCTTTCATTGTGACTCTCTCAGTTGAATGGTGTATGGAGATGGGTGCTGTGGATTTGACCTTGAGATCCCGTGTCTGGGAAATATCTTTGGGTTCTGTTGCTCTGCAGCACTTACAGGCTGAATCCAGTCCAGCAGCCATTCTAGAGACCAGTAATGACTTTGCTCCGATGTGGGTCTTGAACGTTAAGGAACGTATTTTTGAAAACAGAAGTTACAGATCAACTTTCTGTTGTCTTACACTGGAAGGGAAGATGTTTTAAGAGGACTGGCATCCTTTGGAATAAGTTCAACAGGATCATGAATAATTCTGGGAGAGACAAGAGCATAGAAAGAACAGGTGTCTGGAGAAGTCGACATGGCTGCCTAAACCTCCCTCGGACGAGATCAGAGTTGACAAAGGTGCCAGGAGGGCTGCTGTCGTGTTGGTGGCTCCCAAGCAGGTGTCAGGAAGATGAAGGCCCAGCTATATAGAGTTGATGGATGCCACTCAGAGGAGGATCCGGCAGACCCTTCATGACCAGAGGGAAAACAACACCAGCCTGGGCACCTGGCCTGGGGCACTTGCAAAAATGACCAGTCCTTCAGCGAGCCTGAGGCACAGTGGTCCTACAGGAGGCTGGAAGGAAGTTGAGTGTTGAGGGCGGTGGAGGCACCAGACCATGAGCTTCCTGAAGGAAGGCGTGCCTACTCCGTCAAGGGGCGGAGCTTATGTGTGTTTCAGAACGGGGATCCCGGTGTCCTCAGGTGAGCCGGGAGGTAGAATTCGTTTGGCCGAGTTTTGCAGATGCTTTTCCACGCTGGAAACGAAAGCTCTCCCGAAAGGGGAGATTTCTGTCTTTCCATTGCTGCATGACCCTGAGCTCCTGGCTCCCGAAGTGCAGCTCCGTGACTTCCCTTTCTCGTGCCCGCAGGCTCCGGAGGCCCCTACACCGACGTCCGAACAGCCGTGTACCAGCCCCCTCCGCACTCGCAGCCCACTCTGTACGGCCACTGCGTCACGGACAGCGGCGTGGTGTACTCGTTGGGGATGCAGTGGCTGAAGGCCCAAGGCAATAAGCGAATGCTGTGTACTTGTCTGGGCAACGGCGTTAGCTGCCAAGAGACAGGTAGGTATTCGATTTTAAAAGGAATATGGTTGCCGACGTGTTTATGGTTTCGTTTTAAAAGGCATCCTATCCATTTACTGCCAAATCTGAAACAATGACACACGGAAGAAACGTTCATTCTACTTGTGCCATCACCCACCTGAGATAGCAAGTGGGGTTGGCATTCAGGGCATCTATTTTTACCCAGTCTTCTTCGTTTATGCGTTGTCTTTCCCATCCAAAGCCAAAAACCCAAATGCATTTCCTTTGAGTTCATTCTGACTCCCAGTAACCCCCTCCAGGAAAGAGTAGAATTGCCCCCACAGGCTTTCTTTCCTGGGCTGCCAGTCTTTGTGGACACAGTGAAGCAGCGGGTGGGTGCGAACCACCAACCTTCTGGTTAGTAGGCATGCCCTGAAACCATCCTGCTGCCTCGAATTCTTCTTTCCCATGTTGAAGATTAATCTGCTGTGTCTTAGCTTCACTTTTTCTAAAAGGTTAATACAGGAGGGCTGCTTTCTGAGCAAGCTCATCTGTCATGTGTCCTCTAAATATCAAATTTCAGGAGACTTCTGATGGGGCCTTTCCATCCCCTAACCCATCTCTCCCGGCCCCCCAAGGTAGTCGTCACTGTGGCATTAGTAACTGGCACACTTGTGCTTTCCCCCAAGAGTACCCTCGTGCATTAATAATTATCACGGCACACACGTAGGCGTGCCTCTCCCTCCAGCACCTTGTGAGCTTAATTTATGGTCCTTAAGAAAACTTTACAAATGGAGAAACTGAGACATGGTCCCAGATGTGGTAAGAATAAAAGTCAACCCAACTCAAATGTCGTATCCACCAAAAAACAGTAATCGTTCCCGGGAACACAGTTTGACTGACTTGAGCCGGCTCATCATCTCTGCTCACAGCGTCCTCTTCCTGTGATGGCACAAGCTCAGCCTCATTCAGGCTGTAAGCAAGCAGCTGCTGGTAGGGGATAAATGCCGTCTATTTACTGAAGTTGCTTTTGGGGTGTGCTTGCAGCGGTCACGCAGACGTACGGTGGCAATTCCAACGGGGACCCGTGTGTCTTGCCGTTCACCTATAATGGCAGGACTTTCTACTCCTGCACCACCGAGGGGCGTCAGGATGGCCATCTCTGGTGCAGCACGACTTCAAACTATGAGCAAGACCAGAAGTACTCTTTCTGTACCGACCATACTGGTGAGCAGGGAAACTCGGCGCTACGGCTGTTGGGAAAACTCCCCTCTTCTGCCCTTTTCAGGGGTTAACCATCTCGCCATTCATGTGGGGGCTGCACAAGTGCTCTCCCCTTGTTTTCCCAGAAGTACAGGGTGGACCCAAGGGAGGTGATGCGGGCTTAGTGGCTAAAGGGTCTTTCCAAGTCCCCCAGGAAAGGGCCTCCCGTCTACGTAGTTGGACACATTGGAAGTATGATGTGATTTTAGACACAGAGAAAGCATTGGGAAGTTGCTCAATGCCTGCTGGAGAAGTCAGAGGGTACATGCAGATGCCTGAGTGGGTTTGCTTTATCTTTCTGATGGAAATGATGTTTTATTCAAAGCTGCCATTTATTTATTTGCCTGGGAAAATGACAAGAGGGTTTCCATCTATTTTGAAGGTGGAGAGGAACATACTAAGGAAACGTAGCCCTCTTTTCCAGAAAGCGACTCTGAATCTCTGCAGAGACGTGGCGCTCTCTGGTCCCTTCTGCACTCACCTCCTTCTGTTCTCTGGGAAGCCCAGTTCTAACCCTATTCTCTCTGTTTGTGTCGTACTGGGCAGTCTTGGTTCAGACGCGAGGTGGAAATTCCAATGGTGCCCTGTGCCATTTCCCTTTCCTGTACAACAACCATAACTACACCGACTGTACCTCCGAGGGCAGGAGAGACAACATGAAGTGGTGTGGAACCACCCAGAACTATGATGCTGACCAGAAGTTCGGGTTCTGCCCCATGGCTGGTAAGATGAAGTCCTCACGGCCAGCCATTTAGGGAGGGGATCTAGACGGAAGGATAATGTCCATTTTGGCTCCTTCTCCCATTAAGACTTCATTTAGAAATAACATAAAATCATATGTAATATATGTTTAAGCATATACACACTTATCCATGAATATGTGAGTATATATTACTGTATGTGTATATATATGGTTACGTATATAGGAATAACGTAATTAAGAATCCACTAAAATAATTGAATGCCCAACAAGCTATATTGTTATAAACCTCACATGTGACCGAGTAGAACTGTTGTGTAGCGTTTCTTGTTCTGTAACCTTTACGGACACAGCGCTCCACACCTTACTTCCACAGAGCTTCTGGGTGGCTTTGAGCACTTAGCCTTGGGTGAGCGCCCCAACATAAACTGCTTCTGCTATTGACATCCCAAATGATACATAAATGCAATAAAAATTTGTTTAGTGTTTGACAATATAAATCTTTCAGTAGCTTAATACATTTACTGTATAACTGCTGTGGTCACAAATGTACCATATTGACACAGCATTTGGGCTTGGCTAACTAACTCTGTCACTTATTAAATAGCAAAATGACCCAAGTGCTATGTTTTATCAGGAGTAAGGGCTGAAGGGGGGCGGGGTGGTGGTGAAGTGCTCAAGTTGGTGTGACTGGAGAAAAAGGAGCCAATACCTTTTCATCCCAAGAACAGAGAGAGTGCTTTTTATTACCCAGCGCTAGAACCAAAAGCCTATCCTCTCTGGATTGTCAAGTATGTCCCTGGGGCACACAAATACTTACACTTACTTTTCTCTCATTTTAACCCCGGAGGAGGTTGGGTTTCAAAGGAAAGCTGGCTCTTGCGTGTACTTCTCTCCCATACCTGCAGTCTCCGTCTGAACCCGAGTCCGCCGGGGTGATGAGAAGTTATGGGGCAGAACTTGGGATCCGGGTTCCTAGAACAATGTGCCCCCTTTGGGTGAAGATGTAGACATTATTATAGCTTAACACCCCCTAATCCTTCCCGTGGTGATTCCTTACAGCACGTCTTGCTTTTGGGCTAAGTTTCCTTCCCCTGGGGCTCAACACAGGCACCTCCACTTAGCAACCCCTTAATTCCTTTGAGACACACCAGGCTCCTCTCTCCCAAGTCAGGGGTCTTAAAAGGAGGGCCAACCTGAACTGATGGGCCTACTTGCCGTTTTAGCCTTGGTGATCTCTGTTGAGCATGTGCCTCTCCTGTTTCCAAACAGCTCACGAGGAAATCTGCACAACCAACGATGGGGTCATGTATCGCATTGGGGACCAGTGGGATAAGCAGCACGACATGGGCCACATGATGAGGTGCACCTGCGTCGGAAATGGCCGTGGGGAATGGACTTGCGTCGCCTACTCCCAGCTCCGAGGTACGCACGCCGCCGAGCAGTCAAAACATCCGAGCAGGCGAAGGATCCAGAGGCTTTTATTCAAAAACTGGTACTTTGCCAAAGGCAGGGAAGAAAATACCGTGCCGCTGCATGAGTCTGCTGTGCTGGAGGAAGTTCCCATGCCAGGCAGCCTGTGTGAAAGGCTGGCCCAGTAGTTCTAAGATTCACACATGACCAGGGTATAAGTGCTTAGGCTGAGGCAAAAAGATGACCCTACAGGTGAGAACACAAACGTTTCATCCTTGCAATGACATCTGGAAAAGCAGGGATCCTTTCTGTGTAGAAAAGGGGTGTTACTATTCTGAAAGGAGAACCTGGAAGGTCCAAGTTGAAGGGCACAGATATCAGAAGAGACCCACCTGCTTTGTTCAGCGCTGTTGTTCCTTTTGGGATGCAAATGTCTTAAGACAAGGGAGAGATTGCTTTAGAGAACAACAAACACTTCGGTGTCTCCTCTTTGGGGTTTGAGAAGTGAGATTTACGTTCAGCTCTGAGGGAGTGGTTCAGGAGTGGCACTGCCACAGTTGCAAGTTCACAGGGAAGGCCTACGGCCAATCACCTCATGTCACCTAGCAAGGAACTGAGACCCCGAGAAGCAAAGCCATTTGCTTCAGATCCCCCAGTGTCTTCAGAACAGAATTAGCATATGTGCATGTCTATATGCTATGTAGATATGTGAGAGGGCTTCGAAAAGTTCGTCAAAAATGGAATGAAAAGATAAGGGATTTCTGTCCTCCCCAAACTTCTTGAAGCCCCTTCATGTATGCTCAGGCATTTTTACTTAAAAAGCCCGTAGATGGTGTCATTTTCTTACTCAAATCCAAATATCTCTTACTGACGCATCCAGAGGCCAGACCACCATGGGGCGCCCCCGAGTGCTTTGTACTTGTGTCTGATAACATTCTTCCCATGCATTCCTGTGAGCCGAGCCCTAGAGGAAGTCTTGAAGCAGGGCCTTTTCCAAAAGTCTCTGTGTATGGGATCGAGAGTGGCCTTTCACAAGAAGGTAGATCTTGCCACAGTCTTCAGACGCATATCCTTCAGCCTCTAACGGACATGTATTATGAGAGACTTTTTGGTTTTGTTTTTTAATAGCAGTTTTCTCACTGACAAAGCCCTGGAAAGTTCTCTGTTCTTTGCCAGTGGAGATGTTAGCTTTGTGGAAAGACGTAGTAATTACTTGGGAGCAGCTGCATGCTTTGAAAGAGAGGATCGGCTTTTGTCTCATCACTGCAACGTGACGATGTTCTCCACCCTTCCCCAACAGATCAGTGCATTGTCGATGACATCACTTACAACGTGAACGACACCTTCCACAAGCGTCACGAGGAGGGGCACATGCTGAACTGCACCTGCTTCGGCCAGGGCCGAGGCAGATGGAAGTGCGACCCCATTGGTGAGCGGCTGCTCTTCCCCCTCAGGATTGGGTTGGACACTAAGAATTGTTAGCAGCAGTTTTCTTACAAGAACAACTTGCTTTGCATGTCTCCAGTTGGTTCCAGGCTGATCCTGTGGCTTGCAGAGAGTTTCGCAGTCTTATTTCTAATCAGGGACCAACTTATAATCTTCATAAAGATTGTCACCTTTTGTTGACTTACTCATTTATGTAGCAAGTACCGATTAGATTATCTTGTAACTCTCTGGCTTCCTGAACTTTTAGAAGCACCCTGGTTTTATCATGCATTCATGGTAGTTTGTGTTGGGGATACAAACATCACCTTAAGAATGCAGAAATCCCTGCTCTCACAAAACACATCCTAGTGGTGAAGGTGGTGAAGGGCGGGGCTGATAACTGAAAGGTTAGTGCTTCAAAGCCACCAGCCACTCCACGTGAGAAGAGGAGGCTGGCTGCTTCCAGAATCTTGAAAACCCTGTCCTTCAGTTCTACTCTGTCCTATATGGGTGCCGGGAGTCAGAATCAGTCAACAGAGAGACTTGGCTCGCGGAGAGCTTACCTTTTTTTGCGGGCGGGGAGCTATCTATTATGTTGAATTTTGGTGACCAAAACAACATAGGTTTATTTTAAGAGAATAGAGCTCGTTCTTTGGTTCTGAATCTTAAGGATAGTTCATGTTATGAAAGAGAAGTTTCTTTTGCTGACTGAGCAATACCAGTGGCAAAGGATTCTGCCAGTAAATACCTCCCTCCAAAAATGCTCTATTTTTCTTGGCTGCCCTTTATGCTAGATTTGAGCAAATAGTGAAGGTTGAGCCTTAACAAGAGCTGTGCTCCCAGAACTCCGAAGTGTAAGGTAATCCATTAATAGTCTTCTACTGAAAGAGGCAGTTTGGCCACTAAGAAAACAAGTCCTGTCCCCTGATAAGAGCAGTTTGTTTGACCTGAGATTGCCAAATCTTGGGGGAGACGCCTGAGAGGTTTTCTTAGAAGTGGCTCAGTAGTTCCTCATTGTTAAAATCTAGTTCATTCAGTTTGATTGAAAATTACTACCACATTAGTAGATACAAATGAAATGCTTTTAGGATTTTATCCTTAACATCAAAATTGAAACCCACCTGCATTTATAAGGGTTCAAGTGTATCTGATTCACCCTTCTCTCAAATTCAACATATTGAGATTTAGCTCTTGGTTATGCTAGTGGATTCATGTCTAGAAATGATCCGCTGCTTCCTGTTTGAGAAGACGTCTAAAAGCTTGTGGGGGAAATGGAATTAAAAGATAATGGATGGTTATAATATCTGTAAGTGCCCCCAATAGAATGATTTTTAAAGATAAGTGTAAGAAAATATAATGGAAATATTCTTGGAACGTTGTAAAGTCTCTTCATATATTTATATATATATGTGTGTACTAAAATTAAAATATTTATATTTTTTATTTGGAGAACTATATATTAGCCTTTTTTAGAAAACAAATATCACTTCAAATGAATAGATTTTTCTTAAATACGAATTTCCCTGTAAGATAAGGAATATATGTGAATTAAATGCATTTTTCAACTGCACCGTATTTCGAGGAGAGATACAAGTTTTTGTTCAAACATTCTTAATGAATGTTTTTGCCCACTGCCACTAAATCAACTCTGACCCAGAGTGACACCACAGGACAGAAATACAGCTAGCTCCATAGTGTTTCCGAAGCCGTGACTCCTTATGGGAGCAGACAGCCTCCTCTTTCTCCCACCAGGTGGTTACTGGGTTTGAACTGGCCTTGCAGTTTGCGGCATAGTGTTTTACTCACTGCATCACCAGGATGCCTATGTCTGCTCTAGCACCCAGCAATCAATTCTGTAGCTCTAAATCTTCAAGGCTGCTCATGTGGTTATGTTTTACTTGTGTACGTTGTAGATCAATGCCAGGATTCAGAAACTCGGACATTTTATCAAATTGGAGACTCATGGGAGAAGCACGTGCATGGTGTCAGGTACCAGTGCTACTGCTATGGCCGCGGCATTGGAGAGTGGCATTGCCAGCCTTTGCAGGCCTATCCAGGTATGTAGCTGCCAATTGAGAGCTGTCCACACAGGGGTATCAGCAGAGCCAGATCATTGTTGGCCAATCCTGTGATCCTGAACTTGGAGTCTCCTGTCCCTTCCTTGCTTTCTCCTGTCACTGTTGAAGAACCAGTCAGGTTTTCAACGAGCATGGCATTTCTTCCTCCACAATCAAATCAGAGGCTGGAGACCATGTCATTTTGTTTCTAACACTGAAGAACATTCTGTTCGGTTAAACTACTAGGGCGAATTTCATTTAGAGAAAGTTCCATGAAGCAGCAGAGGATATGCGTGTGTTTCTTCATTGTCACCTCCATTCGAGACCCTTCCTGATCATTGGAATTTCCATTTGTTTCGTCAGTTGCATCTGGAACAAAGTACACTGGGCAAGAGTTGAGTAATTGGATCGGTTCTCTGCCCCCCCACAGTTTAAACACCCACAAATGCTTAGTATTGGATTTTTTATTTTTATTTTTTTGGTCCAGGTTACATGGACATAAAGCCTAGCTATAGGTGTTTTTAATTCGTTTTAAGAAAATGAAGTTCAGCTGGAGGTCTGATTCGTGCATCTACTCAATCTTTGTACAACCACCCAAGGGCAGCGTGTCCTAGAGGTCAGTTAGCTTAGACTTGCAATGCAGTCTGTATTCAGAGATAGAAAGAGATTTTGAGAGATGGAGAACTGAGATGGAATTACCCAAGCCCCTCCAAAATGTCATAAAAGTGAATAAGCGATTGACCACTTATGAAAGACATTGTGAAGCAGGGTCCTGGCTACAGAGTTACATGTGAGACTCACTTCTTTGTTTCCTCATCTGCAAAATGGGGAAATTATGGTTGATTCTCCCTGAGTTCATCCCAGCGTTAACCATCTCACAAGCTGTGATCCTCAGCACCCACTGCCCTCATGCACCCTTTCTGTGAATGCCCAGTAATGTGACTCCTGCTCCCCTCAACCCTCAGGCACCGCCCTGACTGCTAAAGGTGACCGTGCTTCTGCGGGCTCACGAACAGTTTGGCCTGGCTTTTCAATTGAATTTCTTGGTGTCGTAAGCACTTATGATTATGTTTTAAGTGTAAGAATATTTGTCTTAGATTTGACTGCAGAAATACTATAAGCTCATAAAAGTATACAATCTGTTTTTCTTTTTTTAAATGATGCAACCAAAGAATTAGAAACTTCTAAAGAAGTGATGGTCAATATCTATGTTTATGATTTTTAACAGCATGGCACTTTGTTGACAATGAACTCGTGATTTAGAGAGACTCTCTTCCCTACTCCCCCTTAAAGCAATGCCACCTGCATGCTGCTTGCTGGAAGCCTTTCGATGGACATGCTGTAGAGGCCCTCTGGATCCGAGTCATCCCCCAGGGCTTTCAGTTTACCCATCCATAGCGCCCATTTTTACACAGTGCCACTGGGCTAAGAGGAGATTTGAGGATCCGGAATTGGCATTTGCTCTCAGATACATGGTTTGGTTGCTTATCTGTGTATCTGACTTGCTTAATGGGTCCCGCCTAGCATGTGGGACTTTGAGAGTGGGGGATGAATAAAGGAACCACCGGTGACCAATAGATTGTCTCCGAGCCCTGTCCTGTTTGTTCCTCCAAAAGAGGACTTGGTAGAGTTGTTCAAACGAACAGAAGATAAGAGGCATTTGGTTTGTCAATAAGCAAACCAGGAAAGCACAGTTCTCAGCAAATTAAATAGAGGGAAAAAGAACTGAGCTGAAAAACTCATAAATGTTTAACTTCTCCAGGGTCACTGTTACTGGAATCACTCCTTTTGGTCTTGTTTTTGCCTAATTTTAAAAGTATAGACATTGCTTCAAATCTTTATGTAATCACTGTAATTATTACTCTGACCACCTTGAGTAAGAGGGAGTATGCAGGTTAAAATTGAGAGGCATCGCAAGGTGAAACTATAAAGATTTTATAATGGTAAGTGCTAGCATCTGCTAGTTAGGTTAATTTTTAAAAGTTATACCAGTGAAGCTATCTCAAAAGGGATTATCAAAGATATCAATCTAAATGAAGCAAATGACCTTTAAATTATACACAGTGCAAGGCAGATTATATGAAGTGACAGTAGGAATGTAAGTGACCTTACAAGTGACAGAGTCTCTTCACTCTTAGGGTGACAGTGTGCTAATTGCATGACATCCTTATTACTGTTCAATAAAGTTCCCCGAAGGTGGGCATCTTACAGCATCCAATTGCAGTGCTTGAAAGTTGTTAAGAACAGAAACCTACAGCATTCCGCATCATCATTTTTAACTGGGTTAAAACGCATGGCCGAAAGACAAACAACCAGTGCTGAGCCAGTTGCTGCCTGGTCCGTTTCAAATCATGGCGGCCCGCGTGCAGAGTAAAACTGCTCTACAGCGTTTCCAAGGCTGTGCCCTCTGAGAAAGCAGATCACCAGCCACCTCTGGGCGAGGTCCCACAGCCAGCCTTCTTCAGTCCCTTGGGCCACCCGGTGACACCTGTGCCCCTTGAAGTACTCTTTTTCTTTTTTTCTTCCCTCTCCTGTACTCCTCTCTGTGTGGACATGTGAGCATGATTAGATTTACAAATGGAGAGGAAAGGTCCTTTGTGTAGAATTTTAAAAACTGAATAGGCATTTAATCATTGTAAACGTTTTCCTCTCAAAATCCTGATTGACAAACTAAATGAGGTATATATCCGGTTTCTCTCTACCTGAGGAAATTAGAGCAGGATCTCTTAAAAGGATCAATTTCTTAAAACCTTATGCTAATGACCATACATAATAATATTCCTGCATATGTGCTGATTCACATGGACGTACTTAAAACAGTTATATCTCTGTTAAGTTTGACTTAATATATGTCTTTAAAACATAACATTGATTAGAAAGCTCAGGGATGGAAGAGATGATTTAAAGAGGGACATGAAATTGATTTCTGCCAACTGAGTAAAGCAAGAACATCTTGCTCTGTTCCGTGCCGTATGTGCGGCATTAGAATGGAAAAGTGGGAATTGTATACATGAATTTTGATATTCATGCAGCTGGGGAAAAGTGTGTGTTAAGTGAAATTTAGATTCAAAGAATATTTCGGTTAGTCTCCTACCTACTTTGGATTATTCCCTATGTAGAAACGAATTTATTATTCTAGAGCTTTTGTGTTCACAGAGACAGGCACGTTATATATTTGTTCTGCTAGAGAAAACTTTGGTTCCAAAGAGAATTTAATAGCTAAGATAATAAATTAGTTTGAAAATCTATGTAATTTTTTCTGAAAGCTCTCAGAAAACTTCAATCTGTTAGTAATCGAGTGGTGTGCTCTATTAAAAATGTAAAATTTGGCTCTATTTGACAGAAATTCCTGGGAGATTATTTCAAAGAGCTTTATTTTTATTTCTAGTAAGTTGGAAGTTTGGTTGCTATGAGAAAAAAGACCATGTTTAGATAAAAGGCAGTCTTCTGTTCTGAAAGCATGAATTTTCCAGCTATTGCATTATTATCCTAAATGAATTCTACACTATTAAGAGATTGAGTCCACTTCTCGTTTTTTTGCTTAAAAAAAAAAAAAATCCAATTATACTTTAAATGATGTTGGTAACAACCATGTACATTAAGATGTGGAAATATTGGATTTACTATATAATCCAGTATATCATTTCAGTTGGGAACTGCTTTTGAAAAAGAAAAAGTTGACCTATTAATTGTTTGACCAATCAGTGGTGTTGTTTCAAAGTAGACGTCTATCATCATTTACCCCCAAACTGATCGGATGCTTACACTGTTGGGAAATGGATAAAGGTCCATAATAATTGCCTTGATCTTTGGGTGTAAATTTTTACCTGACTCATAATTTTGTCTTACACCTTGCTCTGTGGCCTTTGGAATGTTGTTTCATTCTCAGATTCGGTTCTTGATGAAAGTCTTCCCAAACCAGAATTTCCTTGAGAAGAATCGTAGTCAGCATTGCACTATTTGTATTAGAGTGGGTTCTTTCTGTTTTCATCATTCGTACTTTGAAAATGGAGAAGAGGGCAGGAGGAAGGGTCTTTTTCCAAACATTTTCATTTTGTTTGCTGTACACAAATGCTACTTGCGTTTCTCACATGAAGGGCAACAATTCAGCAGCCATAATTCAGGTGGCCATCAAGGGGAAGTGAACAAGTGCTCAAGATAACCAACTGCTGCTTCTCTGTTTCCAGGCTCGACTGGTCCGATCCAAGTAATCATCACTGAGGGCCCCAGTCAGCCCAACTCTCACCCCATCCAGTGGAATGCACCAGAATCATCTCATATTACCAAGTACATTCTCAGGTGGAAACCCGTGAGTATCCCACTCAGGAGACACTGTTGGTAAACGTAGTAACCTTAAGGACTATTTTTTTTTTAATCCAGCTTTAGACTATAGATCTGATCAGCCATTCATATAGCTGGTATACTTGTTTGGTGACCAGCCAATACATGGCCCATCTAATAAACATTGATTTAGCTGTTTCAGCACTTAGAAGACTTTTGCTCTTTACCAAAGAAAGATCTTTTTAAAAATGGACTTAGAGATAATGATGTGTACCATTATTCTTTCACCTCATGGGATGAAACACTAAGGATTTTTTATAGCTTGCAATCCTATTGAAGGAAATCCTTTCCACGATTTGAAAATTAAAAAATTGAATTGATATCTCTGTCATTCGACTCACTTTTTGCAGTGGTTGTTCTATAAAACCTCATTTTTGATCCTTTTGAAATAGAGTTCTTTAGGTACATGGAGAAGAGGTGGGGAGAAGAAAGCATGGATGAGAGAATAATCGGTTTCTTTAAAGAATGAGCCTTGTGATTTTCTATTAAGTGTCTAGAAAATGAAGAAATCTTATTAAGGAGGCTGCTGTCCTGTGTCTTTTAAGTTTTCGTTTCTCTTACCCTTCCCATCTCAACCTGTTGGATCCCCCGAATCATGCCTCATTATGTAGAAACAATATTTTTAACACAGGCAGGAGATGGCCACTTTTGATCACAGCTATTGGAGGACAGCATTTTAAAAGTTTTCAATGCTGACAAACCATGCCCTTGTCCACACAGTCTAGGGAAAATTCAGGTATCAGAACCGTGCTTCTTCGGCCATGTCTGTGATACAGTGTGAGTCGTTGTTTGCAGATTTTGCATAGCTGGTAGTTTTCTTTCAGGTGCCTCTTCGTTTATCAGCTTTTTGTCTCCTCATCAGCTTGTTTTTACTGTAAACTTAACTTTGAAGTATTTGGGGGACCATTATAATTGGGAGCATTATCCCTGATGTGTTGTGAGATTGTGATGTTGTGAGGTACTGTTGAACCCCACTTGACTCATGCTGACCACGTGTGAGAGAGAGGAACTGGCCCCGTAGGGTTTTCTCAGTCAGAGTCTTTCCGGGAACAGATTGCCAGGTCTAGTCTCCTGCAGAGCTCCCAGTGGGTTTGAACCAACAACCTTTCAGTTAGCAGTCAAGCACTTCATCACTGAACTGGAAATCTTCAAAGCACAGGATTTCTTTGAGATTTTTAACAATTGAAAGTATTCATTTTCCCTTGATGTATGTTTATTTTCTAGTATTTCTAGTTCATAACTAACCCAAAGAGTTCACATTTAATAAGATGTGCAGATGACCACTGAATCTGAGCGCATTGTAATGACTAATTTCAAGATCTCTTCTCGTATTGGACTCGAGTTAAAATTCCAATTTGAAGAATACTGGGACCACTAACACTTAGTTCAAATATGTAGATGGGCCCTTGAATATTTCAGTTACTGAGCAACTGGTTGATTAAACCAAAACCAAGCTCACCGCCGTCATGTCAATGCCGACTCATATGTTTTTAAAAAAAATCATTGGGAATTGAAAATATATTTTGGTTTACACTATTTATGCTTAGAAGACTCTCCTCTTGTTTGAGCTAAGGACATTTCCCTTCCACACACTTGATTACAGTGAGTTTTATTATTCATGACATATTAATGAAGTCGATCAAAATATAATGTAAACTAGAAGCAAAAGATTAAATAAACAGAAACCTTCTTCTTTAGTCTTGCCCAAAGTTGGTTAGCCACTTCTCATGGGGTCAAGAATGAGTCACACAGCCAGAGCAGTTGAACTTTGCATGTGATAGTCTCAGGAACTGATTCACAAAGCAAGCTGATGCCTTTGAATTATCCGACCAGGAACTTGGCCTGTATTACTCTGAAGTGAAAGACTGGATAGGTGGCCTTGTTCTGCTCCCAACAGGAATAGATCTCTGTTCATGGTAGACATGAAAAGAGTTGGGAAAGAGGAGATTTAGGTTTATCGTATTAAGTTACTGATATTAATGATTTGGCAAAAAAGGAGGCACCCACTGCCAGCATACTGTAACTTTAGAAATATCAACTTATGTCAGTTTCTTCACCTGCAAAATGGAGCAATAATATATTTGCCTCAGTGGGAAGATGAATTTTAAGTGGGAAAATGCTTATAAAACAGCACAGGGTGGCACATGGTGAGCTCTCAATACATATTCATTGTAGTAAGAATAATAATTAATACTTAGCATGACCAATGACTGTTCATGGAAAGCAGGAGAAAGATGAGGCTTTCTGTTCCCGTAAAGAGTGCGTCTTTGCTTAAAGTCTAGTCTTCAAACAAGCAGCCATCTGAGTGAGGCTTCAACCATATCCTCGTGGAAGAAGCACATCCGTGTGATCCGAGGATTGGCAATAATAAAATCCAAGTCCAAAGGAGGGAATAGTATCAGAGATGAAATCTGAACGCTGGATTTGTGTAAGACTACTGATGATAGTGGAATTCCATAATTCGTTTGCAGGGCTCACACATGGATTAAGCCTTTGGCAAGTGAATAGCTTTGTTATCAGACCGCGTTGTAAAGTCAATTATGGCCGATGAGTGATGCTAGTTAAAATGTATTATCATTTGATCTCCTTTTTGACCCGTTTTAAAGTTGTTCCGGGTTAAAAAAAAAAAATGAAGGGGAAATACACATGGATTAAGTCTTTGGTGACTCCCCTTGTCCACACAACAGAGATGTGAATAGCCTTGCTATTATGCAGTGTGTTTTGGAAGTGAATTATTGCAGGTGCAGTTAGGTTAAAATTTAACACCTTATAATTTTGTCTGTCTCCCTTTTTATCCATTGTAATTATGTTCTAGTTTTTAATGTTTTCTTCTGTCCTCTTGATCGACATTTTTCTCTTACTTTGTTATTGTTGGGTTTTTGTTTGTTTTTGATATGTTTTTCTGTATATGGAATCTAGGATCAATCGATTCATAGACAGTCACTGGATGAATGGTGTCTTAGGGGTATGGCAAGGGATGTAGGGAAAAAGGGGAGCTAATAACAATGAGTACTAGACATTAGAAAATGTTCCAAAATTGATTGTGGTGATGGTTGTGTAACTTTTAACAAGATAGAACAATTGAATTGTATGATAGGTGAATTATATGCTCATGAAACTTTTTTTTTAATTAAACAGTTAATCTTAGAAATCCAGTGGGGCAGTTCTACTGTGTCCTATAGTGTCACTCTGAGTCAGAACCAATTCAAAGACAGAGTTTTGGGATTAATATTTATAAAACCCTGTTACAGGCCCAATTCCCATGTCCCCATGATTTTCCTACAAAAAGAAGTCTCCCAGTTTCCTCACTCTTCTTTGAAGACAACTAAATTACATCTCTGAATTATGTGGGATTCAAAAGAATCATTTTCTATTTTAAATGTTTAGAAAAATACACAAACCCGTTGGAAGGAGGCGACCATTCCTGGCCACTTAAACTCCTACGTCATCAAAGGTCTGAGGCCAGGTGTAATCTACGAGGGACAGCTCATCAGTGTCCAGAAGTATGGCCAACAGGATGTCACACGCTTTGACTTCACCACCACCAGCACGAGCTCATCTACGACCAGTACGTACCCATATCTCGAGTTTGCTCCAGCCTGGCTCTCTCTTCAGAGCGTGCATTCCTTTGTCACCCACCCTCTTCTGTGAATAGCACCCACCTTCCTAAAAACATTCTGCGGGTGAGGATAGTAAATGTTCTTGATGGCCGAGAGCCCACCTCTCCCTTTCTGCGGCTCTCTAGGCAACACGGTGACCGGAGAGACGACACCCTTCTCTCCGTATGTGACCACTTCTGAATCTGTGACTGAAATCACCGCCAGCAGCTTTGTGGTCTCGTGGGTCTCGGCTTCAGACACCGTGTCAGGATTCCGGGTGGAATATGAGCTGAGTGAGGAGGGAGACGAGCCGCAGTACCTGGGTAAGCTGTGTGTGTGGCGCCTTGCAGGTGGGAGCGGGAGTTGGTAAACCTTTGGTGGTGGTGATGTTGCTGGGGAGGGCAGGGGCATCCAGGAAGGTGGGCACAGTGGTTTGGAACGACTTCACAGTTCAGACTGTGTGTAACGCCTGGAGGCCTGTGGAAGGGAGGGGACTGACCTTTTCTGAATTCCGTGGTTTTTTCCTGAGCCGCCCTTTCTTGGTCCCTGCTTGGCCCCTGCTGTGAGCATAGCATGGCTTTGCCTGGGCTCAGGTCCGTCCAACAAAAACGACTTCCTTTATAGAATCAGTGGCCAGTAGGACGATGCAGCTGACCTTTTCCTCTTTGCCGTGGTGGTAGGAGAGCGTACTTTTGTGCATGCTTTCCAAATCCTTATGGTTAGGGAACCTTTTAAAAAACCTCATTAAAATGTAAGTACTGGAAAGTAGGCACAACACATAGGATGCAGCTTGATGAATTTTTATGTAAAATAAACCCATATGACCAACACTCAGTCAAAGATCTACGGTCTTGGAAACTCAGAGGAGCAGGTCTACTCTGTCCTATAGAGTCACCGAGCTGGAAAGTGACACAGTGGCAGGGGGTTTGCTTTGGTTTGGTTTATGGACAGATGGGATGAGAGCCCTGGAGAAACTGTGGTTGAGTACTGAACCGCCACTCTGCTGGAAAATTATATGAAACACTTCGTCTGTAAAGATTTAGAGGAGGGATGGGGAACCTTTTTTCTGCATAGGACCAAAAGGATGTTTATAGCATCATTTGCAGGCCATACTGGTCAGACATCTAATTAGCTCACTCCTAATGTGATGCCTGGAACTGCTTCTCTTTGGTGACGCATGGGATGTCAGTTGGTACTTAAGATTTTGCAGGCCTTATATGGCCTTAGGCTAGGAAGTACCTATCCCTGATTGGAAATCCTGTGGGATAATTTTATTCCATCCTACGATGAGTTAGTATTAACTCGAAAGTCAGGGGTTTGGTATGAACATAGAGTTTTTTAAATAATCCATCTTGTAGGCTGTGGAGGCTTTTGACTGGCTGATTAATTCTACCATGTTTCCCTGAAAGTAAGACATTGCCAGAAAATAAGACCTACTTACAGTTTGCCTCTCACTGAAATATAAGGCACCCCCCCCCCGAAAACAAGGCCCCCCGAAGCTACCGTAACTCTGGACTGTAGCGCCGGGTGCCGCTGCAAAGCTCACTGTTGGCCGCAGAGCAGCCGGAGCAGACAGGAAGTGCGAGGTCTCTTTTAATAAAACAATAAATGTGTACCGTATTCTTCTTCATGAAAAATAAGATATCCCCTGAAAATACGACCTAGTGCATCTTTGGGAGCAAAAATTAATATAAGACCCTCTTATTTTCGGGGAAACAGGGTCGTTGGTAATCTTTCCTTTCTCTTTTCAAGATCTACCAAGCACCGCCACTTCTGTGAACATCCCCGACCTGCTCCCTGGCCGGAAGTACATCGTCAATGTCTATCAGATCTCTGAAGAAGGGGAGCAGAGTTTGATCCTGTCTACCTCACAGACAACAGGTACACGTGTGCTGCGTGTTCTCTGAAGACGGTTTTTCGAGAGAACGCAGGTCTTCAAAGGGTTCCTGTCTGGTCTCCTCACCTTTCCCTTTCTTTCTTCTTTAGCTCCTGACGCACCTCCTGAGCCTTCTGTGGGTCAGGTGAACGATACCTCCATTGTGATGCACTGGAGCCGGCCTCAGGCACCCATTACAGGTCAGTCTGCGTCTCTCTTGCGGATGCCATGTTGATGTTGATGGGATGGGCGGTGAGGGAGCTGATTCTGATGTGTGGACTAATGGATCACTTAAGATCTCCCACGTAATGATTAGACTAGGATAAGGAATTGTGTGTGTGTGTGTGTGTGTGTGAGAGAGAGAGAGATATTAATGAACAATGTGATTATATTAAGTCTACAGCCCTACAATCCTGTGGCACACCCCCTTTGAATCGATTTTACTCATGAGCCCACACAGGCACACAGGGCAGGAGACCCAGAGTCTCAAAAGGTAGCTCATTGACTTGTGAAACCAGACCTGCCATTGAAGCAGAACTGTGACTGTTAGCTGCTGACTCACGGCAGCTAACAGAACAAAATGACTTCCTGGTCCTGCACCGTCAGCCCAGTGGTCCCTTGGGGACCAGAGCATTGTGATGCCCAGGAGTCTCATTGACTGACCTTTAGGGGTCCATCTCCTAGACCATCTTAGTCTGGACACACGGCTGAAACCTCGACGACATTCTAGAACAGCGGTTCTCAACCTGTGGGTCTCGACCCCTTAAGGGGGTTCGAATGCCCTTTCACGGGGGTCGCCCAATTCATAACAGTAGCAAAATTACAGTGATGAAGAAGCAATGAAAATAATTTTATGGCTGGGGGTCACCACAACACGAGGACCATGAGGAACTGTATTCAAGGGGCGTGGCATTAGGAAGGTTGGAAACCACTGTTCTAGAAGATGCAATTAATGAACGGATGGGTGGTGGCTATGCCCTGTATGCATCGACCAGAAATCATTTTCCTGACAGCCTTGTGGTTAGTGTTGCTCTTCGAGAGCGAGTGCACTCGCTTTGCTCGTGAACCCAACTGCTTCGTCTTAGCAGCGGAGGAAAGAGCACTCACATGGCTCCTTCCTTACTGGCTCTCATTGCCCGGAGCTCAAAGAGTTCACATCAGTTAGCATGAATCTGCTCACCAGATAGCTTTTCCTGTCAGCACTCATTCAGGATCTTGGATCTCCAGGGATTATATTTGTTGTTAAAATGATTTGCTTGGCCATTCTTACATTTATCGTTATTTTAAGAACTGACACCATGAACAAAGTCTCCAGAATCACCAGTTCTTTCCTCGTTAGCAAGGGCTGAAGTTAGCTAGAACTGATGGGATCTATGATTTTTTTTTTTAATTTGTTTCATGAAGCGCTGTATCTCTCTTTTCCCCTCGTTGATCTGCAGGCTACCGCATCGTCTATTCACCATCAATTGAAGGGAGCAGCACAGAGCTGAACCTCCCTGACACGGCCAGTTCCGTCACCCTCAGTGACTTGGAGCCTGGTATTCAGTATAACATCACTATCTACGCCGTGGAAGAAAATCAAGAAAGTACTCCGGTGTTCATCCAACAGGAAACCACTGGGATCCCACGTGCAGGTAGCAAAGCACCCCAACCACTTCTGTCACTGGTGGAATGAATGGCTCTCATTGAATTACCTAATGGGAAAAAAGCTGAATGGACAAACGTTGTGTGAGCTATAATTTAACAGCAATTAAAAATGTGTTGACTAGTCCTTATCTTACCTCTTTAAGTTCTCTTTAGGGGCAAACCTTATATTTGTTTATAAGGAAAGACCTGGATGAAAGATGAAATTATTGTGTACCTAAGAAATGTTATTTTGTCTCCATGTCCACATTTCCTGTATGCAAAGAATCTTCCAGATTACTTGATCACTAAATGTATGAACTCTGCTGACATGAAGTAACTCATCCAAACCAGCTGGTGGTCTTCCTGATTGAACATGCTTCACATGGAGGCGTCATTCTGTGTCCCCAGAGATGTAAACTTCCTTTCCTCGGTTGGTCTTCAGTGTTACAAAATATGTCCTTGAAATGATAAACCACGACATCCTTTCCTGGAGTCGTTGAAATGGCCTTTTCTTGAGCTCCTTTAGGGCTCTGGTAGCACAGTGGTTAAGTCTAGGGGCTGCCAACCACGAGGGCAGAAGTTCAAAACCACCAGCTGCTCCTCAGGAAAAGACAAGGCTTTCTACTCCCGTAAAGAGTTGTACTCTTGGAAACTCACAGGGGCAGGTCCACCTGTCCTATAAGGTCGCTGTGAGATGCAGCCACTCCGTGGCAGTGAGTTTGGTTTTTTGCTTTTCTAGACATGACACTGTATATGCTGAAAGTTCATCTGTTTCCCTATATATTCCGAGTCCAAATGTCAAAGCTGTGTGATTGGAGCTACAGAAATGAAGGACATGAAGCATGCTCTGTGGTTAAGATACACAATGTAGCATTTTCCTGGAACGGAGACTCTGAACTGGCTAACACATCCAGGACACTGGCTTTTCAAAAATAAGCTTCCGTCAGAATGATGAGTGATTATCTCTTGTCTGGCAGGTCAAGTCCCCCCTCCCCAGGACCTGCAGTTTGTGGAAGTGACAGACGTGAAGGTCACCATTATGTGGACACCCCCACCGAGCACGGTGACTGGCTATCGCGTGGAGGTGATCCCCACCGATCTCCCTGGGCAACATGGGCAACGGCTCCCTATCAGCAGGAGCACCTTTGCTGAGGTCAACGATCTGTCCCCTGGGGTCACCTATTACTTCAAAGTCTTTGCGGTGAATCAAGGCAGGGAGAGCAAGCCTCTGACTGCCCAACAGACGACCAGTAAGTCCTATTGACTTTACCTCTCCCCTCAACTCCTCCACCTGCCCATCCAACCGGGGATATGTAGGCACCAGACAGCAACTCCTGGGTCTGCATCTTGGTGTCAGTTTCCTCTGCCGTGGCTCCCACTCCTGGCAACCCCACGCAGAGCAGAATGAGATGCTTCCCAGCCCTGCCTCGCCTTCACGGTCTTTGTGACGTTATCCTCAAATCGATGGTTGATGCTCTTGTACATTGTGCTCGCCTTCCAACTGAGGGGCTCATCTCCCAGCTCCATGTCAGACACTTCCTTGGTGGCCCAAAGGGTTTGCACTGAGCAATTTCCAGAAGAAGATGGTTGGGCCTTCCTTCCTGCCTGCACTGTCTTAGTCCGGAGCTCTACTCCAGCCTGTCCACCAGCAGGGAGCCTGCTGCTCTTTGAAATACCAGTGGCACAGCTTTCCGCATCTTAGCTGCACCAAGCCACCACAGTGGGACAGACTGACAGTTGGCTGGGGTGGTTTATGTCTAAGAAATAGAAAAGCACTCAGCTAAGAAGAAAATGTGTAGTGCACAGTAGCAAAGTTAAGTGTGAAATAACATCTGCAGGTTGGCTAAAAGGGAACCAATAAAACAGGCCAGGAAGGTTGAGTGGGAACCACTTCATTTCTACAATATACCTAGAAGGGGAAGGCACTAAGAGAAAAGTGAAGAGAAACTAATTTTCTCTGCTTATAGAGACATAAGTCTATCTTATACAAAAATTAAATTTCTGGTTCCTAACTTGGCACATTACACTTGTTCATGAGTAATAATTGCTGAAAGATTTAGGGTTTATTAGGCATCAGGTTCTTAGATGAATTGTTTTTATTTCATTCTCATTTTGACCGGGTGGGTCATATTATTTATTATCTCTAGTGGATAGGTGAAGAAATGGGAGCTTATTGAAAATGTCTGCCACTTGCCTCAGGTCAGAGAGCGAGGAAGTGGCGGAGCTGGATCTGATGGTCTCGATTCTTATCCTAGAGTACATCTTGAGCGTTTTCTGAGCCACGTTTTAAATTCCTGCAGGGAAACTGCTAGGTAGCAGACTCAAGAAGAAAACCTCCTCTTGACATTCTTTCTGATCGTCCCGCTGATTAGTGCCTACATGGAACTGAATTTCAGAATAGGTTAAAAATCATTGTCTAACCTGAGTCCCCGGGTGGCACAACCGGTTAAATATTGGACTAATTACCCAAAGGTTAACGATTCAGACTGTCCCTGAGGTGCTTGGGGATGGGGGCAGTGAGGCCTGGGGATCTGGGATCGCTGTGGATTGCAGTTCGACTGCACATTTGAGGAACCACAAATTGGACTCAAGTCAAGGACAACAAACAACAAATCTGAGTCATGTGAAGGCAACGTTCACTTCTCGAAGCAAAGGTTCGCTCATTCCACAATATCCCTTTCATTCCGAGTGGAGCTAGTCACACTCCTTGGGCTCTCTGTTCAGTGGGTGTGGGCCTCTTAACCTATTTGGTTCAGAGCAGAGCAAGTCTGTTATTTGTTTACAAGGTTCTTGCTAAAGTGTAAGAATAATTTCTCAGGAATGGTGGGAAAGTCATCCTGGAAGATTAGACTTTTTAAAGGACCCTAGTCAAGCAAAATGGCTCAGAGGGTTCTCCTGATTGATACAGAGTTCTAGCAAAATTCTATGAGGCTCTCAATTTCATCATGGCTCACCTTTCCTGGTCTTTAACTTTCACTGGCCTTTAACCTGGAGGAGGGAACACTTAGAAAATGCCGTCAAACTTGAGGATTCCGGTGCCCTAATTACTGAGCCGAATCATTCTTGCCGTGCTTTATCCTTTATTTCTAGAACTGGATGCTCCCACTCACCTTGAATTTACCAATGAAACGGACTCAAGTGTCCTGGTAAAATGGATCCCACCACGGGCGCAGATAACTGGATACAGACTGACCTTGGGCCAGACTCGGGGAGGCCAACCCAACCAGTACAAGGTGGGCCCGTCAGCCAGGCAGTACCCACTGAGGAATCTGCAGCCTGGCACCGAGTACACGGTAAACCTTGTAGCTGTCAAAGGCAACCAGCAGAGCCCCCAAGCCACCGGAGTCTTTACTACTCGTAAGTTGACATTTACGTGTTACTGCTTGGTAATGCCAGACACTCCCGACTAAATGTGTATTCTTCATGAAAAGTTAGCTTGAAAAATGTATTACATGATGGAAAGCTGTACTCCCCCGTAAAACTCGATGGTGGCCTCCCAGTTATCTGTTACTGGCACACAAGATGAGGCGTCTGTGCTGGAGCATAAATAACGAAGCATGCTCGTTAGTTCCGTGGAGAGTTTATTTGAGGCCAGGCTTTATCGATGAAGGAAGCAGTGTTTTATACCTTGTTAAGTTCTTGGTGTACTTTGAGGTCAGTACATTGACCCGTACCATAAATTTAAAGTATCTAGATTTTTGAAAATAAGATTCTGTGTATTAAATGAGTTTCCCAAATAATCGATAAAGAAATGTTTCCCAACGTGGGTGGTAAGATAGGAATGCAGGAAGCAGCCAGCTAACCCTTTCTCCTAGACTATGGGCTGTCATGGAAAAGCTGTTCATGACTAGGTGGGGGCTCTGAGTAATTTTTTTCCCTGAAAAGTGGGTGGTAGACCAAATATGTTTGGGAATGTTTGAGACAAAAATCAGCACCTGTGCCTACAGCTTACTCATTTGAGCCTCAGGAGATAGGCATGGAGTGTAAGACAAAGAGCATCTATGGAATGGCTGCAAACCGAGGGAGAAAACACGAACTAGGCCATGACTTAGGGAATGTTGAGCCAAGCTGCAGAGGAAAGCACTTACATGGAGTACAGACCAGCTCCCTTCCCCCTCCACATACGCACCGTTTTCTTAAATGACTCTACAATTCCTCAGAGAGGAAAACACTGACAATACTTCTGGGTCATGTCTTTCCTTTTGCCCAATATTTCTGAGAAAGTGGTCTTTAAGCTCATACATATCTCAGTAAAGGTCTGTATTTACAAGCAGCTTCCTAGAGTGTTCATTCACATTTCCATTACCAAGAATTATGAGACCTCGTATTTCGAGCGGAACGTGATCTGCTATTTTGAACTCCACACCTGGAATTCCAGAAATGCCTAATAGAAACACTTTTTCCAGCCTGGACTGCAACTGTCAACTAGGGCTTGTCATTTTCTAAAAGCTCTCATCAAATCTTACACTTGATTAACATGAAAATATATGTTCAAAGGCATTCAGTACATGAATGTATGAGATTCATGGGGTTTTTAAAACTAATCTTTCATTTGTAAGAAGTCACATTTATTTAAAAAATAATTCTACTTAAATTCCCTGCATGAAGTTTGCCAATGAAGGCATTTCTTAATTAAATTTGTTTAAACTAATTTTTAATCAGAGGCAAATCAAATATGCCTTTAATGTCTAAGAAAGTTTACATTAAAAACTTGAAATTTTAGGTACTTTAGCGTTAAGATATTCTAAAAACCTATTAATATGAGACCAATGTCTTTGTATTTTTTTTAATAAAAATGTATTTCTTATATATGCCCATCACTGCATTATAATGGAGATTTCAATAAATGTAACCTTTTAGTGGGTGTAAAGTTTTACCAAACATAGTTATATAGTTGTTAGGTTTTTTGTTTTAATACCTTAACATAAAGCAAGAACTCCTGGTAGCACAGTAGATTAAGCAGACAACTAACCTCAAGATTCGTAGTTCAAATCCACCAGCCTGTCTGTGGGAGAAAGATGAGGCTGTCTGCTCCGGTCAAGATTTACAGATTGGGGAACCCTGTGGATCAGTTCTGCTCTGTCTTGTGGGGTCACTACGAATTTAAATCAACTCAGTGGCAGTGGGTTTAACATAAGACATCTTTGATGCAGGTTGTACTGTTGAGTAACAGAAGTAAAAAAAGATCACCTATGGATGCTAACAATAGAAAGGGGTGAAGCCAGGTTCTTTGTAGACATTGTAGTGTTGAATATGCTTTTTTATATTGTAGAAAATGTGCTTGTGCAACTATAACTATCTTTGAATTAAAGTAACGATCATCAGAACTAGTTTTATTAGGTTGAAGTTAGCACAGTGCCTTGTACCTAGTCTATTTTCAAAAAGATATGTATTGCATACGTGTTGTTTGACTCAGGAAAGAATGATTAAGGAAACAGCTCAACTACGCTGAGATCTAAATAACCCGACATATTCAGGGAGTTCTAGCACTTCATTTAAGCTTCAAGCCCTCCTTTAGGTTGCAGACATCAGGGGAGCTGCATGTTTTTTCATTGTTTTACGTTTCTATCACTTTTTACTGCCTTACCAGGCTGAATTCTGGGAATAACTTTTCTGGCTTTTATAACCTGTGCTGAAGTCTTCAGAGCCAATGTGATAGGGAAGAGGGACAGGAGGGAGGTTGTTTATGAGAAAAAATCAGCTTACTGCTTTATAAATAGGGCTAATTGTTATTTTTTTTACTAGCTAGAGCTAGACGGTTCTTCACCTAGCAAGAGCTGCCAAAAGCCATAGCTCATCCTTATAGTCATATGCTTAGTTTGACATCAGTTTGTGGGTTTGTGGTTTGGAGATTTTCCTGTAATGGTCTTCCCAGGCAGAGAACATCATTTTAAATTTGCAGAGTCTCGCTGGTTGGCTCAAGCAATAGGAAATAACCAGTGCTAAAGCCCCGGGCAGCTGAGGAGAATATTATTTGTTAAAAGGTTGTGGCTTCCCCACATGTTGGGCAAAAGGAACTCATTGCTCCCTGCATTGTTTCTCTCAGATGGTCAGCATTGTCACACAGGCGTGGTCTGGGCATTTGGGCAAAGCAGCCCAGTGCTACATGACTTGAAGGCACCACTCAGCCC